ACCAAAAACCTCTTTCATTCAAAATAGGAATTTTCTCCAAATCATATAATAATAGGCATCTTTAGGCAAAAAGATCCTGAACAAGGCAGGGCAGATCCTTCATCATATGAGCAAATATCACCTTAAGTAACATGAGAAAGGGCTGGCACGAACCCAAATGGACTGGAAAAGATATTATAACCCAAGAACATATGTTCTACGCTGATAGGAATATATAGGGGACAAAATCTAACAAGAGTGAAAAATATCCTGGAGATCTGTGGGATGTACTCTACCCTTTCACACAGCTATCTTCAGGTGGGGATAGAACTGGGGAGTTTGACTTGAAGAACCTTGCCTTGAGCTAGGTTAACATCAGGAGGAAAAGAAATCTACTTCCAACTCTGTTCACATAAGAAAGTAAAGTCCAGATTTCTTGGAATATACCAAACTAAGCACTGTTTGTTGTTCTAACAAACGAACCTGTACATTCTTCTACAAAACTTTTTTACAGGGACATTTTCTTCATCTTCAGGAATAACTTAAGTCAGCATTCAACTCTCTCTCCTTCTCACCTTAATCTCTAGCAAGGCAGGTAGCTTCCACCACACACACACACACACACACACACACACACACACACACACACACACACACACACACAGAGAGAAAGAATGCTACTGACCTTGAATGGTAGCCAGTGTACTGTTGCTCATTAGGGCTGGGCTGAGAGCACCGCCCAGAGTCCCCGGATTGAGACTGAGTAAGGCACCTCTGCAAGTGAAAAGAGGAGTCACTCTAGGTCATGCAGACACCCCTGTCAGTCTGGCAGCATACCCAGATCGATAATAACATCATAGAGATAATAAAGAAAACTTCAGCTTAGGAAAAATATCGGTATCTTTGTTACTTTCCGTATACTTTCATATGGTTCAGTGAGTGCTTCCAAGTTACTACTTCTTTGATGTTTACTTGTACAAACAAGGTTATGATCTGCATAAAATATAAAACTTCCAGTCACTCTGACTTTTCTTTGAATTACTTCATTCATTTAACTGGAAAGGGTAATCTTTCTATTTGACAACAAAAACATTCATTGCTGCTCTATTCATAATAGCTAGGAAATAAATGGCATTAACATAGACTGATGATAATGACACTGGTACAAACAGACAACGGAATGTTATTGAGCTGTAAAGAAAACTGAAATCCACAGGTAAATGGACAGAACTGGAGAACATCAAGTGAACAGTGTGGGCCCAGCATGACCGAGGCCGTGTGTTCTTTCATATGTGACTCCTAGCTTTGAATCTGTTGCTTATGTTTACCTTGGAGTAACTGTAGGTCAGAAAGCCTGAAAGGGTCCATTAGAGGGAGAAGACAAGAGGTCTTAATGGGGTAGGAGATATGTGTGTGGTATGAAAAGAGGAAAGAATTATGGAGATTGAAGGTTTGAGCATAGATGGAGTGAGGGATGGAGGCAGAGAAGGAAAGTAGGTCAACAAAAACTAAGGATGTATGAAAAGCCTTATGGAAATCCTCTGTGTATAAGCTAATTAAAACACACAATAAAAAAATAACAGAAAGCCAGGCAGTAGTGGTGCACACCTTTAATCCCAGCACTCAGAAGGCAGAGGATCACTCAGAAGGTAGGTGGATCTCTGTGAGTTTGAGGCCAGTCTGGTCTACACAGCAAGTTCCAGGACAGCCAGGGCTACACAGAGAAACCCTGTCTTGAAAAACCAACACACCCCCTCCCAAAAAACCCCCAACAATAACAACAACAACAACAAAACAGAAGGAGTTTGAACAGAGGTTACCCTACATGGGTGAACAATGTTGTCCCCAGAGGATAATTAAACAAAAATCTAGGTGCCATTCATGGGATCCTTCCCAACAAGTTATCAGTCTGGGAGGCTCCAGAGGCCAACCCTCTAAAAAAAATAAACAAACACTATAGGATATTGCCATTGCTCTTAGTTGTCCATCATAACTAGATTGTAAGACCCTATTACTGAACACACATGTACTTAGGTTGCAGGATATAGAAACAACAATCTGGAACTGACCAGGAAACTTCCTCCCTGCTGGCTAGCTTTCACAGTGCCAAGAGGTGCTACACAGACAGGCAGCTGGGGGAGAAAAGATATCACTAGTCTTACTCAATGCTAGATCCTGTATGTTACAATACTGACCAATCAGGAAAGATGTATCCATTGGTACAACAGTGGTATGACTGTTGTAGGGTCGACAACTCATTTCTGATTTGATTTGAGGCTTATTTATAGAAGGAAATTTACACCTGGTACATAAATCTAGTCAAAAGTCCATGGATGGGGAGGTCATGGGCTAAGGGATGAGGGTGGGAGCAGAAACGAACTATTGTTGTTTTGTTAAATGGTTACAGTGAACTGCCTTCGAAGTAGTTATGTTAATACTTGCAGATCTATGGATGCTTTCAACCCAGGTCAGAGAAGTTTCTTTTTGCAATGGATAAGACTAATGTAGATCCACAAAACTGGTCAAATTGTTAAGAGTAAGTGACTGTGGAGTATGCAGCCCTAAATAGGACATCTACATTAAGCCCATCTTCCTAGCACCAAGATTCATAGAACACTGAGGAAGCTGTTTCTTACAGGAAGGATGTACGAGCTGGAGGCTGGGGAGACTACTGCAGAAGTCTCTTCTAGACATGACACAGCAGTTGCCCTCAATGACTGCTTAACCAGCTGTGGCCACCTGAACAAGATCAAGCCAAACTACAGTGTGGATAGGGAAGGGCTCCAGAGGCTCCATCCCTAGCTGAGGAGCCACTGGTAGTTGCTGGGTGCTGAAAGAGGGAGGAGAATTTGTCTTTGGGGGGTCACACTGGTAGGTTACTCATGCTCTAGTGGACGTCTCTACACTCACATGCACAGAGGCAGCACTAATTTGACTGGTTACTTGAAGAAGAAAAAAAAAAGACATGAAACATGAAGTGTGTGGGAGAGTTCAGGGCAGTTTGGGAAGTGATATGATCAAAATACATTGTATACATGTATGAAATTATCAGAGAATAAAAACTATATGAAAAATACATAAAACCAGAATGACTTCACTCCAAGTTTTACCCATTTTTTTGAGAATTAGAGTAGGTAAGCTCTACTTTACTGAAGAAATGAAGACTAAGGAGGATTCTGAGCTTTCTCCTGGCTCTCATCACTGAGTTACTCACTGACTCAGTCCTGTGTCATCCTGTGGAAATGGTAGTGTGGCTACTTAGAAATCTATAATCCAAGGAGCCTATCTCAGATTTGCTTTCATTTAAGATAGTAATGAAAAATCTTCCCTATGAGTTGCAGTGATGGGTTCCTAGTTAGTTGTGTGTGGGGTTTTGAAAGGAAATGCCCTCCCCGCCCCAGCAGGAGTGGTACTATTAGGAGGTGTGGTTTATATAAGCAGGCATAGCCTTGTAGGAGGAAGTGTACCACTGTGGGGGTGGGCTTTGAGGTCTCCTTTGCTCAAGCTATGCTCAGTGAGGTAGACAGTTCATTTCCTGTTTCCTGTATATCAAGAAGTAGAACTCTCCAGCACCATGTCTGCCTACATGCCACTATGTTACCCTCCAAGACGACAATGGACTAAATCTCTAAAACTGTAAGCTAGCAGCAATGAAATGTTTTTCTTTACAAAAGTTTCTGTGGTCATGATGTCTCTTCACAGACATTCTGTTTTGGTTGCAAATGAGATGGGAAAGCTTCTTACCCAGCAGCAAACTGTGAGGGTGCCATCAGGCCGGGGTTGAGTCCTGCAGCAGCAGCCATGGCAGCAAGACTGGCATTTGCTGGCAACTGTGCAGCTCCTTGGAGAGCAGCAGCTGCTGCTGTTTGCAAGCCAGATGCTGTCACCATCACCTGGCTGGCCCCGAGAGGGGAGGGAAGAGGCGTGGAGGTGGTCTGTGTTGTGCTGGTCTCACTGGCACTCGAGGCCTCAGAGGTGGAGGCTGAGGCAGAAGGGGAGGGACTCAAGGAGGGAGAGGTGACTGCTGACGAAGCAGGGGGTGCTGTGGAAATCACGGTGGCTGTGTTGTTGGATGTGGTGTCTGTAGTGCCTGAAAAGAGATTCAGATTAGGAAATGACCTAATTTCCTGTAAATGGGTTTAGAAAACTAGTCATTTCAGTATCTAGAATGAAGGGGATCATTAACCTGTCCATTAATCTTTAACTGCTCTTTTTTTAGTAACCTAGTTTAGCACTTCTACAGAAAATAATGATTAATAATAATAATAATAATAAACAATTTAAAAGCCAAAGCTATGAGTCCTACTTTAATAGACAAGAGCAATAAGACAACTCTGAAAGAAACAATTTCCCCCCCCCAGCATCCATTTTCTACTGGAAAAAAAAAAAAAAAAAAAAGCAAATGGGGGCTGAAGATATGGCTTGGTGGATAAGAGCACTGGCTGCTCTTGCAGAGGACCCAGGTTTGATCCTAACACCAACATGGAAGCACACAACCATCTGTTCCAGGGGATCTGAGGCCTTCTTCTTGCCTCCATGGACACCAGACACAATACACCAGTGTTGGCATTATTAAGCCCACCCCTTCATTATTTCTTCAGTAAATCTACTGGCCCACACCCTGCCCTGTACACCTGCTGCTGTGGTGAACCTGTCCAGTAGACTCAAAAGGACTTCCCCAATGCATCCTCTTCTAAGATCTAGCCCCTTGGTTTTATAGGAAGATAAATGTACTTTCCTATTTCTCTTCTACAGACAAAAAGTTTCAAATACTCTCAATCTTTTCTTTTTTTTTAAAAATTTTATAATTTAATTTAATTTTACATATCAGCCATGGATTCCCTTGTTCTCCCCCCTCCCGGCCCCCCCTCAATCTTTTCTTGATCTATTTTTCATTTTATGAAACCCGATTTTACCTGAAATTGCCCATTTTCACAAAACCTCAAATCTTGAGGTAAAAAGGCTTACACTGATTATTAAATTTTCTTCTTCACTGTATAATCAAATAAATCAGCATCTTGTTATGTCTTGTAGGCTTACTAAGGCAATCCCAGCCAAATCAATGCATTTAATCTAGGCTTGGAAGTGATGAGTTCAAAAACTATCCAGCATTTTTTTTTTCCTGGTTGTAATATACTATTCACATCTTAGGTAAGCATCTCCAATTTGAGAATCATATAACCACTATGACATAAAACACCAACATGATCTTTAGATGAATCCTCCCCGCCATGGAGTCATGTTCCAATTCATATACCTCCTTTATGATTCAAATTCTTGGTAGTTTAATTTACCCAAGCACTCTATGTGGAGAAGCAGGCTTAACAAGATGCTCTCACACACCTTACAGGGCACTCAGTAGACGATAGAGCCAAGCACATGGAGGATACCTAGTACTTCCTCTTGCTTTCCACCCTTTCCTCCCTTTGGGGAAAAAAACCCCAGCTTATTGAAGTATGACTTATATGCTACAAAACTTGCCCAATATAAGTGTAAAGTTCAATAACTTTTTATCAATTTCCAGAGTCCTTTAACTATCACACAATCCAGACTGCAACACTTGCACCAGCAAAAACCGAGCTCCCTCATGCCTGCCTGTAATCACCTCCCAAGCCACCCTGTCTCCATAGCTTTGCATTATGTTTTGACATTTCACATACACGGATTTGAACAATATGTAATTTTATGCATCTTATCCTATTACTTCCAAGGTTTCACAACACTTAGATTTCCAAGGATGAATTCTATTCAGTGGTGCAGATATGCTGTGTGGGCTCTGCTTGTCTCCAGTTTGGGCTTGTTATAAATATGCACACACATGCAAAAGTTATAGTGTGAGTATGTTTTCATTTCTCTTAAGGAAACTGCTTCATTGGATGATACATTTATGTTTTTAACTTACAAAGAAGATGTTAAAGAATTCTCCAGTGATTATACCACTTTACATTCTCACAAATCAGGCAATATGAACTGCAGCTTTTCTGATCCTCAATCATCTTCTGATTGCAGACATTCTATAAAGTATGTTTTTTTTTTAAAAAAGATTTATTTATTAATTATGTATATACAGTATTCTGCCTGTGTGTGTCTCTGCAGGCCAGAAGAGGGCACCAGATCTTATTACAAGTGGTTGTGAGCCACCATGTGGTTGCTGGGAATTGAACTCAGGATCTCTGGAAGAGCAGTCGGTGTTCTTCACCACTGAGCCATCTCTGCAGCCCTAAAGTATGTTGTTAATTTCCCTAATAAGCAATACTGTTGAGCACTTGTGTACCTTCTTTGGTAAAGTATCTACTTAAACGTCCTGGGCCATATTCTTACTATTGAGCTTTGACAGTTTCTAGTATGTTCCATATATAACTTCTTTTTAAAAGATAGATGCTCTATTACAAACATTTCTTCCAGTCTTTGTTTTCATTTTCCTGAAGATGTCTTATACAGCACTAAAGACTTACTTTTCATGATCTTCAATTTATTACCTTTTAATTTTTTAATTGTGTGTTTGTGTGAATACGAGGCCACTGGATTCCCTGGAGCTGGACTTACAGGTGGTTGTAACTACTCACCACAGGCACTGGGAACTGAACTCAGGTTCTCTGCAAGAGCAGTCAGTGTTCTTGACGGCTCAGTCATCTCTCCAGCACCGATGTGTGTTTTTAAATAGCCTATACTATTGGGTGTTGTATCTACGAGCCCTTGCAGTACGAAGTTAGGGAGACTGTCTCCCACTTCTTGGAAAGACACCAGACCCATCCGAGTTGCCATGCACAAGAACCTACAGTGGCGTTTGTGCGCTCTGACACCAACCGTTCCAGAATAATTGTTAGGGATTCTTTTCCTATTAAATTGTCTTAGCTGTGTGTCAAAAATTAACAGAGGATAAATTAAAGCTCCCCCTCCCCCAGCTTTGTTTCATGTAATCTACTTTATGAAGAGTTTAATCTTGCCTTTATTACCTGTATCTTTATAATCAGCTTTTGAAACCTGACTATGTATATCCGCTAAGTTCATTCTCCTCAAGTTCTTTTCATATATATTTAAAAATAGATCCCTTTTATATTATTTTAGAATGAGTTATCAGTTTATGTGTTGGAATTATGACTGTTGAATTAGAAATAAATAATTAAGCTAGAGATAGACAAAGACATTTTAAGAATGCTGGAGTATAAAATGTCTCTTAGAATTTAATTTCAGGCTAGAGAGATAACAGTAAAGTACTTGCCAAACATGAACACCCAAATTTCATTTCCTGAAAGTGCATGCATGTGTGCCCACTTGCCCCCACCTCCATC